TATTATTAACCAAAGCTTTCATCTCTGCTGATCAAAGTGTACGATTTGTGAATTCACTGAATGAATCAATTCAGTTATCGAAATGCGTTGATGATATGAGTGCTTTTATGCAACTTGATGATGAAGTATTAACGCTAATCAAACATGCACCAAATAACGATGATACTCAACGAGCAATAGATATACTGAATAGAATTGAAGGTCGCGACTTGTTTCGTTATATTGGCTGCACTCATCCAAAAGAATCTTTAACATGGCAAAAAGCAGATTATGAAAAGGCATGTCAAGAGATTATCACCAAATGTAATTTTCCGAAGAGACAACCTAAACTGAGTGCTGATAAACTGATGCTACACATGGTGGATATTGTTTTTGGAAATCAAGGTCAAGATCCAATACTAAGTATGTCGTGTTATACAAAAGAGTATCCGGAAAAGGCAACAAAAATATCACCAGAACAGATATCGTCATTGATATCAGATAAGTTTTATGGTCAAGAAATACGGCTCTATTGTGACAATCGTGAGAGAACAATATGTAATATTGTTCGATGCGGTTTTAAACAATGGTGCATGGAAAAACATTTTACATTGCCGAGAGGTAGTGAACATTGGAAATAGCTTATTCTCTTAAACATCAGAGGTCGAAGGGAGTCTTGCCGTGTTTTTGGCTTTTCTGATGGACAGTGTTAGGAGATAGTTTTCCAATACATGAGCAAGAACCAAGTTTTCTGGAGATGATCAGTTTGAACCTTCATTCGCCTATGTGTTTGTTATATTGGTTCTACTTTGTATCTAGCTGTTATCTTTCGTTCTGTTCTAACCTTTCATGTCTTTTTCTTCACATATGACTTTCGTTCGTTTTCTTTTTTCGTTTCTCGAATATATGTACAACTCTCTTTTTTCTCGTTTCTATTCTATAATAGGTATCATATCATCTTCTAGGTCAGGATAACCTATACCTTGTATATAACATTGTCCCCACTATCGTTGCTTTGTTCTCAACAATATCACTTGCGTATTTTCACAGATGTTGCGAGACTTTTCCGGTTAAGTATATCAGCCTGGGCATTTTCTCATAAACTCTTTGTTCAAAGTACTATATATAGAGATGTTTTCTAAAAGCGGATGTGTGTGTGATATGTAGTAGTTAGTTCATATTGAAAAAGTTTATTTATGCGACCAACAAGAGTATCAACCTAACAACAGACAAGAAACATATGTTTTTTTTTATTTGGCAATAAAACCCAACTATGGGCTGAATAAATTCGTTTGACAACCGATATTTTTGTTACGGAAAGCCCATGACTTCTAAACTTGATCTGGTTCTTACTACGCGTGCAGTCCTGAAGATTACCTTTCTCTGAACAGATCAGATTAGATTAGATTATTTCTTTCGACAAAGTTGTTAGAATAAGTAAGAATAACAGAGAACAAGCAAAAAGTGCTCTGTTACTCTTACTTATTCTAACAGCTTTGTCGAAAGAAATAATCTGATCTGATCTGATCTGATGAAAATATTCACCGATGATAATTTTGACGGCTTCCGTTAGATTAGAGATGATGTAATCGCTTAAAGTAAAAACTACGTCAACGGCGTGGCGGGCTAACTGTCCCGTTCAAAGCTGAAGGTTTCAAATCTTTTTATCCTAGCCTATACATTTTCTGGAAAACATTTCAGAATAATGATAGTCGTTCGACAGAGAATTTAATTCTCTAGTAAATGGCTCATGTGGTTTTGAGTTCGGACGTCAAAGGATTTCATAAATAAAATGACTTTCTGGAAAACCGATTTTTAAAAACAAGTTTTCTCCAAGTTAAATTTGTTTGTTAGCTTGAATTGTGTATCAACAAGAACTATTTTCAATATGAATATCCGAAGAAAATTAGCGGATAGGATAGAGTGACATATCAGTCGATTGGGTAGTTGATACTGATTCGGAATATAATATTTTCATTGCACAAAAGTTGAGTTCTGATGCAGAAAATTGAGAATTACGGGCAGAATTCTGACTTTTATACCTCGGGTTTAGAAAAAATGAATTTTCTCAGCAAGCAAAAACAATTTCGAAAAAGCGAGACATTAGTTTAAAGCTGAGGTGCAGACGAATCGAATGAGCTATGACACTTGGTTTCAACTCTTCACACAAAAAGCTAGATAGCTTTGCAAAATGACGTATTCGAAGTTTAGAGGTCTGGATCAGCACGTCATAAATACACCTTTAACTTGGGAATAAATAAAACACTATCATTAAATGCAGTTTTTAATGCGGTTTTGAAAAAAATGTACTACAACTACTACTAAAATGTACTTCAAAGTACTATATATAGAGATGTTTTCTAAAAGCGGATGTGTGTGTGATATGTAGTAGTTAGTTCATATTGAAAAAGTTTATTTATGCGATCAGCAAGAGTATCAACCTAACAACAGACAAGAAACATATGTTTTTTTTTATTTGGCAATAAAACCCAACTATGGGCTGAATAAATTCGTTTGACAACCGATATTTTTGTTACGAAAAGCCCATGACTTCTAAACTTGAACGAGGATCTCATATATGCTACCGTTTTCTTGGACAACTCGTTTTTGAGAAAGAAACGAAAAACTGTTTTTGCGTGGAAACTAGCGATTCTATTCTATCTGTTTATTCTATTCTCCCATTTTTGTCTCGGCATATTTTTGCGTATGTCTTTTCTTGTCTGATTCTCTTTCGTTTGTGTATTGTCGGGATGAACGAAAGAATGAAAAGACAATAGCTGGATATACTTTATTTTAAACGGTGATTTGTACAGCTATGCTTTAGTGGGAATATTCATTTACCCTTTTTGTATCCAGGAACATTTCTACACTATGAATCTATAATCCGTCAAGTTAAACAATTAAAATATCACTTATTAGACAGTATATTTTTCCACTATCACGCGATCTTTAATTACAGAATTTGAACGTTTATCCTGAAATATTTCTCAATAAAGTGCAAATCAGATTTATTAAGATGTCGAGCTGCCTAC